TGAAAAGAGGAAACTTTTCATTACATGAACTTCAGGACCATTAAATAAACCAAACCAAATTTGTGGAGAAACATTACCGGCATTCCATCGTGGTACAAGTTCAGTCGTTCTTTGTTGACATACAGCAGCATCCGTATCTTCACATATTCCTGTTCTACCAGCACAGCTCCAATAATAAATATATTCACCACCAAAACCAGGTCCATCAAGAGTAATAGGCCATGTTTTAACAAGATTTGTAATATCATATACTGAAGCATTTCCATAAGCACGACATGGATTTTTACGATCAATTAATAATAAACTTGCGAATGAAAAATTTATTAAAAATATAGTGATTAAAATACATGATAGGATAATAGATGTTCGAGACATTATCGATATATCTATAATAATAGTTAGATGGTAATTGATTTATATTATCAAAACAAAAACGAGACATCATCTATTTTTCCTCTTTTGTGAAACACGAACTGAAAGAAAGTGTTGAAGTTTAAGGACAGAAATTTGGATCCACCACCCGCCCCCCGCCAGACGTAACAGGCATTGTACTCAATAGTCTCTATCTTGCTGATAAAGAAATATCTTGGCAATATTGATACCGAAGAATAAACGAAAAAAAGCTTGTTAGCGCAGCCCCTCTGAGGCTGAAATGTGGAACTCACATATCTCCTTTGGTTTCATCATACTAATGGCACAATACCTAATATTTAAAATCTCCAAAAGATAATAGTTCTTTTCTAAAGATAATCGATTATTAGAAAATCTTACATTTTTATATCTAAATTTCGAACAGAAATTTTTATTTTCACAAAGTTGCCAAGGTCTGTAATGGGGGGGGGGGGGGCAGTGGGTCTGTGGTTTCCTTTTTGGTGGTTGTGGGGTGGGGGGGGGGGGGGGGGGGGGAAGATGTTTATGTAATATTCTTTTTGTTTGCTATGATCTGTAACAGGGAGGGGGGGGTATGTATCTGTAACGTTCTCTGTGGTTGCTATGGCCTGTAAGGGGAGGGGTCGGGAGCCGCAAAACCTCGAACTTAAAACTTACACTCGCTATTTTCTTCGAAAATATATGTGAGTTCCACAAAAAATTCTAGCAATTTGTTTAAAAAGCTTCACCACAATCCCTGCGGGATTAAAATGTGAAACACGATCTAGCCGCTAACTTGTATTGTAAATGAGAAGATACTATCATGTGGATTACGGTCTATGATGCTGCTCTGGCGTGTCGATTACAACCTGTGACGCTAACCTAGGCTGTCACTCACGGTCTGTGACGTAGCCTTAGCGTGTTGATTATGATCTGTGACGAGATTCCGGAGTCTGTCGGTTACCGTCTGTGACCGGGTCTCGGGGTCTGTTTGTGACGGTATCCCGGGGCCTGTCGGTCACGGTCTGTAAGGACGGGGGGTGGGTCCAAATTCCTACCCTTAAACTTCAACACTTCTCTTTTAGATCTTATTTCACAAAAACAATAAAATAAACATATCAGTATTGTAAGAGTGAACAGATATTTTGTGTTTCACATTTTAATCCAACAGGGATTACGCTGACAAGCTTTTGTTAACAATAGATTTTATTATGCTTACTCGAATTCTTAGTAGTCGACTAAGATTAAGAGCAATAATTGCTGCAACAAAAAAACAAAAATAAAGATATAAAACAGTCACAGTGACTGAGGAGCGACAAGATAAGAAATAGAGCCTCTTTTTATCTCTTACCATACATGTGTACTTATCTTTTCTGTCTTGTTTTTATTTATTTCAAAAGCTTCTGATTCACTGTAGTGAGAAAAACCTAATATAAAGAAACACTTTTTTTTCAACAAGATTGATTCAAAAATGAAATAGTTCAATATGTAAAATTTAACGATGAAAAAGATCTTGATATAATTTGACGGGAATATGTATAATCATAATCACTTGTTTGGATATAATAAACATGTTGACTTTGGATTTGGACGATATCTTGTTTGAAACAATAAAATAATCTATGTAGAATATTAGATTAGAGGAAAATTACGACAGAGTGCATATGAAAAGGCTTGACTTCTTGAATAAAAGTATCCATAAGTGAATTAGTAAATATGGGTGTGGGTGTGGGCGTGAGTGTGAGTGCGGGTGTGGTTGTGGATGTAAATCAACGAAAGAAGAACACCCACGTTCACGCCCATACTCACACCCACACTCACATCCCACATCCGCACCCACACACCCATACTCACACCCACACTCACATCCCACATCCGCACCCACACACCCATCCACATCTACACCCACACCCACACCCACACCCACACTCACCCACACCTACACCCACACCCACACCCACACCCACACCCTATTGATGATACTACTGGATTCTATATTTATTCACTTTCATCGAAGAAATTTTGCATAGAACTTCTCGCATCGATTCCTACATGTAAACCTTGCTGGTTGAAATCAGAACATTGATATTTACTATAATTCAATGCTGTCAGCTAGCAATAAAGAAAATATTTTGGTAAACATTAATTCATACTCGTTGCAGCAACATTCTACTTAGTATCTACCAAAAGTAAAATCACCAGGGTATGAAGTGTGCGTGTTATCCTTCTCTTCATAGAAGAGCAATGCTCATAGATACATGAACATCCATATGGACATCATTTTGTTGAAAAAAATGTTTGATTTGTGAAACTAGAATCTGCACTTGCTATTCAAAATTTTCATCTATATCATGAAATACCATTTTTTGACAGAAAAGTCAATAGAAATACAACTTTTTTTTCGTTTTCGGTTTCTTCATACAATAGTCTTACTAGAGTTTTTCACAAAAATCTATCAAATAAATTGGTAACTCTAATTCATTTTGTATTAGTCTCAATCTATTATCTTCCATTTTTCATATAGATTCTCACTAATCTAGGTCTCAAATTTAATCAGAATCCTGACAAAGAAACGTCTAATTGATGGATTGGAAAATAGTTGTGATCTATATTCAACCCTTGACCTTTCGAACAACCGATTTGCATATCAAGGAACAAAACATGACGCTCATACTTCACAAGAAATATCTCTGACAATATCTCTTTTAAGATCCACACCCTTCTGTATTAGGTAGTAGATATCTGGTGGAAACATTCATTATACATATATTGTACAAAATAAGAAAACAGACACTCGTAAAAAAAGATGTTTCTTTTCTTTTTGCATGAAGCCCACTGATAAAACATTATTTCATTGTTTATCATGAGGCAAGTTCATCTTTCTTGTCTATCTAATTCCACTTTCGAAAGTGCGTTCCGACTGCTGCTCAAGTAACCGATATTCATAGTAAGCATTGAGTAATAGAGATAAGAATTATCTTTTTCAATAGCACTTTAAAAAATATAAAACATGCAGGATCGACGTGCTTCCTGGTCTGTGTTCGTCTCTTAGCTGTATCTTTTATAAAAATTCGTTTTTTTCACATTCCTCACCTGAAATTCTATAATGATCGATTTTTGGTGATTTTGTTTGTTTTAATAGTATTGTTTTAGAAGGGTGTGTGGATGTGGGTGGGGTGTGGTGTGCGCTGCGGACGCGGATATAAATGCCGGTTTTTTTTATCCACCACCACACCCACACCCTCAAGATAGTACTACACAACCATACATCGATCATATATAGATACAATATCGATCAAATGAAGAATGAATGACAACATTTACAAAAGTTTAAAAAAAATAATCAAAATTCAACTTCTATTTTTAATTGATAGGACTATAGTATCTTTTTTTATTGTCTATAATTTTCTTTTCATTTTTTCTTCTATCATATGGTTTTATAATTTTATTAGAACTTTCCATGTATGCATTAGTGTATTGTTCTTTTTCACTGAGTAACTTTCATTTTTTTTCGTCTTGTACTATTGTATCTCAATGTCAAATAATTGCATGGTTATTTTTTTATGTCGTTTTCGTATTCCTGAACTTGATATTCTTATTATGTAAACACATGAGCGTTTAATTCATGTAGTAATTAAACTTATCTTCAACTGTTTATGAAACATGTGAAATTAATGAACTAAAATATTAATTTGCTTGATTTGTTTTACAATACGAGAAAACCATAAAAAGATGATAGGGAACGTCGAAAGAAAAAGAACTACTTTTAGATGAGTGATGAAGAAGTAGAAATGGTACTGGATCGAAAGCCTCGATTCAGTCGTTATCGTACACGAATTCGAAAGAGAATCAATCTCGATATAAATGAAGCTATGCAAATAAATGATAACAACGTAACATCGTATCCACTTTTCTATTTTATTTCTCTTGTATATCGCTTTGAATTATTAGAATGAATGAAATATTTGATTCCGAAGAACCAAATACTGTATTCATTGATGAAATACCAATAGTAACGCACGATGTATGTACTCAAACTTTCGATTCGTTTTCTAATCCAGAAATGGAGCAACATATTGAAAATAGTCATGAAAATGATACAAATCAATTAGAACGTAGTAATAGTAGATTTCAACTTCTAAATGATTATAATAATAAATTTAAAGATAATGATTTGCATGAGTTTGATGATGATGATGATACAGATTCTACTGATACGAATAACGATGCGGAAGAAATATATGAAGCTCAGTACAACGTATTCGGTAATGATTTTGAAACTCAACAACCTCCAAATGCTACTGAACTTTCAGTAATATTAATTTTTGTTTGGAGAAAGCATTCTATGAGTAAAGCTGCCGTAAATGATATTTGTCGAATTTTGAATGTTTTCAATGTTCCAAACATGCCTAAAGATTTTCGTGGTGTGATGTCGTACATAAAAAAATAATCCTGCACTACTTCACGGTAATCAATCGTTTATTTGTCCATCATGTTTCAGTAAAAGTTTAAATGCTTCAAAATGTAATATCAAGGGATGTCAATCTGCTTCATCCTATGTTCGTACTCCAACATCAGTATCTACTTTTCGTATTTTACCTCAAATTATTGCGATTCTTGAGCGTGAAAATCTTGTAGCATTAACATATGAATCTGATCAATGTCGTGATGTAATGAACTCTCATCGTCATTGCGAAATAGTGATGAAGGAAAAACAAACACATCTAGGAAGAAATATAGTGACTCTTACACTTAATTCTGATGGTGTGTTCATTAAACGATTATCTCGTCCTTTATGGATCACATGTGCTTGCATAAATGAATTACCTCGAAGGAAAAGATTTGAAATTAATAATATATTAATATGTTCTATGTCAACAAGTGCTGAAAAACCAAAAAAACAAGAATATTCAGCAATATTAAGGGGTATCGTCAATGAATTAAAATTTCTTGAATACGTAGGCTTCTATATTTTATTACCATCGGATAAAAAAGGCACTGCAAGAAATTATACACATTTCCATGCATTTACGATATCTGCTGTCTGTGATAAACCGGCACAGGCTTTACTTGTGAATATAAATGATCCAACTGGTTATTTCAGCTGTGGGTGGTGCTGCATCAGAGGTTAGAATATTTTTATTTTTTGAAATTCAGTTTCTTTTTTTTCTCATTTGCTGTACTATTTATTTATGTTAAACAAGGTGAAACTAGTTCTTCAGGTATGCGATGTTTTATTCCAAATGAAAAAATTCCGATGAAGATTCGTAGTAATGCAACGTATGATGCATTTATGCAGCTTTTAGCTAGAGTAAGTTGTCTTCCTTATTTTATTTTTCATTCATAAATCTGTTTTTTTCTTTTTGTTTAGAATTATATGCCAAAAGATCCTATGAAAGATAAAGCATGTGGACAGTTAGGTTATTATGCGTTACGTGAACTAACTTATTTTGAAATTGGAGAAAGTTTCTGATTTGATTCTCTTCATTGGTTATATGCAGGAACATTTGTAAGCTCTTTAATTTTTCCAATTTTGAATAGCTAATAACGAATTTCAATAAGAAAGTGGAGACGTTTTCCTAATCATATGAGTGTAAATCTCTTGATGAAAAGTCTAGATCTTCATAATTTTATCTCCAATGTCATAAAGTCCTACGCCATACAAAAAATAAAACTACACTTAATGTAACTTCAGTAATTGTTGATCATAATCTTGCTCAATTTAATTAGCAGACTACAATTTTTAGTATGTGTACTTGCATTATGCAAATCTTGAGAGCTATATGAACAAATGGTCCGTTCTATTCGTAGTCTTTTTTTCACCAAGTATTTTTCTGACATGGATAGGAAGATTTAGTGGGATCAAAGTTTATTGAACATTTCAAATCCTCGATCCTATCTTTCTTTCTAATCATTCTAAATGTAGCATGTGAAAAAAATCTGGTTATGTGTGGGAAAATATTTAATGATATCTTTTTTTCTGAGAATCATAACAAGTTATATATGCATACAAAAAATTATATACTCAATTCTTGAGCAACAATGAATTTTCATCTAAATATTTTCAACTTTATTTTTATTTTTGTTAACAGAAAAAACTGATGTACTTGTGGTTTGATGTTATAAAAGCTGACTATTCACTTACAAAAGAGTTTAATCGAATTGAGAAATTGCTTCAAACTATTCATTATCCAACTACGAATCGATTGCCACGTCTTTTGCGGTATTTTAAAAAATGGAAAGCGAATGAGTTTAGAATTACAATACTTTTCGCATATAAGTAATTATACATCACACATCGTAGTGATCCATTCAATTCAAACCTTTTCTCTTGTAGATTATTTGAGTAGGTAATGAAAAAGAGATATTATGTACACTTTTGATTATTGACATATGCCGCAATTTTTTCCGAAACACGAATATTAACAACAAATCGACTGAATCAAATCAAATGCATTTTACACGTGTTCTTAAATCAATTTCCTTTGTTTTACGGTGTCCGTATATTAATAACTAACTTTTTACTCTTTTAATTTTATTCTTCTGCTGTTACTTTTAAAGGCAGCCAACTGTGTTTCTGTCGTACACTCTCTAGCATACGTTCATCAAACATTACGTAAATTTGGATCTCTTCATAACTACAGCATCTTTTATTTTGAAAGTACAATTGGTACGTATGTCTGATTCGATTCACCATAGTAGTTTCTATTTTACCAGCTAAGTCTTTTAAATATACATAACAATGTATTGTTACAACTATATATAATAATTCTACTCAGTAAGTCAGAAGTGCCTCAAGCTTGTAGTTCTGTTGAAAACCACGAACGAATACCCTTATTTCTATATTTACGATCAATTTTTAATATACTAGCATACAAACTATCAACTTAGATAATCCAAAAGCAGAATATTCAACGAAAAAGCTTTGGGTACTTTTTTGACTCATTTTGACATAAGTTGTTTGTTTGAATACAATGCAGATTTGTATATATCTAATATGCTGTTGTTGTTGCTAATTAGGATCAATCGTAAAGTCTCTATATGGTCTGTCGGTGATTATACCTGAGCTTATTAACAATTTTGAGTTGGTATCTTATGCTACGGCTATTCTTAAAAATCCATCCTTTTATCCAAAAATTGCATTACTCATACACCAAATGCTTTTTACAAATAGACGAGCTGTACCAACATTCATTAGTCCAAATATTGAGATTCATCTGGCTCATCCAACACCTGTTAAATTTTTACATGTGACCAAGTATCTCGAGACCACATACGGCAAAGAACAGTTCACCCATTATTCACTATGCTTTGTTAAACGTGTAACTTTCAGGGTTCATTGTCCGGCAAATAAACAAGTCGATGATTCGGCTTTGGTTTATGTTGATGAGTCAGACAATATTCATCTTGGTGTAATTGTAGGAATTGTCAAGCTCAAACATACTGGCGATATCTTATTCATTGTCGATGAAGCAAAAATTAGTGGTTATGATTCCTTTCTCCTTAACAGAACGGAATACATAAATGATTTCTTTATTTTTGCAACATTAAAAAATCCACGAACCATTGTTTCGATTCACTATGATTCAATCAGAGAAAAAGTTGCATATCGATCAGATGAAAATCTGAATTCTGTTTGGGAATTCCATCTATTTCCAAATCGTCTAGAATCTACATAAAAACTTTTAAAATAGCTACTGTTTGTTACTGTTTTTCATTGATGCTTCTTTTTCTTTTCATTTTTCTATCATACATATTTGCTCAACTGTTTTATTTCATATCATTTAACTTCTAGATTATTTATCATAGTAAGTATTATTTAGCATAAAGGAAATTAAAGTGAACAACTATCTGACACCCCACGTATATTAGCATCAAATTTCACTTTCATGCAAAGGAATTAACGAATCAGTGATGCAATGCATTATGAGAACCCAGCTATTCTGATAGCTGTACAAGAGTCAAATAATCCTGATCTGTTTCAGAAGTATTCTTCATTCTTTTTTATAGTCCTTCAAAACAATCACTTTTAACTTTCGTAAAAAGTTTGAAAGCATATCCGATGCGTTTAAATAGGCGTAACTTATTTTACAAAAGATTCTCTCTTTTTGATATTCTTAAGGAATAGGTTAAGTGGTTTGAAGAAGTTTATTTGCCTCAGAAAAAAACAGAAATAACTAGTAACTGCTGCACATAATAAAACCCGTTAAAAAAATACGCGTAAAAATGCGTGGATTTCGAGTTATTAACGCATAAAAATGCGTAAATCAGGAAAAAAATCTACATATTTTAACGCTTGAACGTTGTAACGCATTAGAACGCGTTAAAATTTCGTTAAAATGCCGTTTTAACGATAACTTATCATAAATACGCCGTTTTTACGAAATTTTAACGCGCTTTAACGCATTTTTTCAAGAGGCTTGTCTGACTGGGTACTGAGTATGAAACTGGTAAGTCTATTTGAATTCATTCATATTACAAAACTGAAAATGAAATTCTTTTTTTACCGGCTACGCGAATGCGAGTACTCGATCGAATTGACATTGTCAATGGCTAAATTATCATTCAATTGAAAAAGATTACATCTCAATTTTCTATGCTTCAACCACCATTCACTTAACTCTTTTTTTCGTCTATTATCCTGTTATGGGGGTCAATATAATTTCTTGTTCAAAGAAGTAATATACTACTTCGGTTAAATATTTGTTGGATGATGAGCCATTACCTTGGGTAAGAAGACTAGACTGCAAACGTTTTGCTTGTACTGCATTCTGGAATTTTTCTTGAAATAGCTGTAATTGATAATATGACAAGAGTACATTCATGCTGATAACTATGTTTGTTTTCTTTTGTTCTCGACTATATTATGTAAAAATATTCGGATTTATTGATCAGTTTAAAATTTTGTGAGGACGTCAATGATACGAAATGATCTGATTATAATTGCAAGAAAGAAACGTCATTTTATTCTTATGACAATGTACTCAAAGACGGCCAATATGGAAACGAACCTATAAGATAATGCATAATTTGTCTGAAAAGTGTATTAAAAATTAGTAAGTTTTTCCAATCTATGATATAACTAAGAGATTATTCTAAAAAGACTTTTCAAACAAGTATATATTGACGATCTGATGAAAATATTTCTCTGAGTAGAAGCGTATTTATTAAATATTCTATTATATTTGATTGTATAGTTTGAGAGTTGTTAGGATATTTTGTNAAAACGGTAGTAGCTAGCATTGTCTTTGTATAGAAGCGCACACAATTTTCAGTTTTTATATACTATCATAAATAAAAAAATTTCAAAAAGAAATCAAATAAAAACATTCGAAATTCATTGTCTCTTTACAGGAATAGCTTGTCGATAGCAACTGATGTTAATAAGAAAAAAACACATTATTTTTCGACAAGGTAAAACCGCAACTAAGCTCTATGATGTATATGTCAATTTTGAATTGAATGTTTTCTTTTTTCAGTAGTATTGCATTTGATATACCGAGTATTGGCCGCAATCTTATTCATAATAATTTTTAGTCAAAATACAAACAGGTTTAAAATTCTTTTTCCTTAATTGTTGTCATCATTGATAATTGTTTTTAAATTTCTTTAGTTTTGATATTAATCTTTCAATTATTAAATTACCTGATAGAAATAGTCAACTTGAAAATCGACCATCGACAAGTACAATTGTTCAACTACGTACCATGGATATTCTTTGTTCAATTGAATTTCGAGAATTAGAAAAGAAAAATAGAGAGTTAACAACTAAAGTTGATACTTTAAAAGCTGCTCTGAAACAAATGGGCAGGGAGCAAAAAAAAATGAAAGCAACACATATGTGTGAGTAACTGATTTTATTTCATAACCTTAGGTAGTCACTTTTCTACGATGTGATTTCTTAAGAACATATTTTGATTATCATTTTCACATTTTATAGTATGTAATTGTTACCTTTTGAAGTACTATAAGCCACAACTTTCTATGTTATCGATTTAAGGTTAAATGAAATTGCATTATAATATATTTTTGGCTATTGTAAAGGATTTTTTTCTTTAAAAGTTTCTTTTTCGTATTTAATTTCTAAGTACTCATCACGAATTATTAGAAAGCATAGGAAATCTATTTGTTAACAGTTTTTATGAACTCTTCGAATAGTATTTGATTTATTTCTACTCATTTTCACAATGAAGCCTCGTCAGGCATTTTGGAATGAATTATTATTATTTATGGACTCGTATAGTGAATCATTTAACGGCAATGGTAAAACAATTGAAGAAATAGGCAGTGCACTATCTTTAAGTTCAGCAATGATTCAAGAAGTGCAACGAGACGCCGATAGGCCAGATAAAGTTGCCATGAACATCTGGCGAATTTTATGTCCTACACGAGCTGATCGACTTTACGTTGAATCAATAAAAAATGTACCAGCAACAACTCTTCAAAATATTCACAGTAAGTCTGTTAGTTTCACAAGCATGTCAAATAAAATTTCACGCAATTTTTGTTGCCTGCTGGTTATGAGCATTTTTGCCAGCGCATCATTCTAAAACGTCTTTTTAGTACCGAACCATTTGTAAGTTCGACGGGGATTACGAAATCTAAAATCGTTCTTCACGAGAATACACTTTCAGAATCTTGACTACGAAGTTTTTTTTAGATTTGTAGAACGAAACAGAGTTTAGCATCCAAAAATGCGAAATCATTCAAGTTTGATAGGAAGCCATTGAAGCCTAAAACAAAGTCTTATAGGTTTCACGTTATACTCTGAAAGATTCATACTAAACTTGAATGATGTTGAATTTTTTATATCGAACTCTTTTCATCCAGCGGATCTCAAAAAGGTTTTGTAGGGAAAGGTCTGAGGGTGTATTCGGACGAAGAACCCTTTAAGTTTCGAAGTCTTTGCTGAACTTGAAAAGGTTCCCTATAAAACAATTTTTTAGACTGCATGATAGTGAAGTATCAAGAGTTACCTAACTATCAATTTCCTTATCGAAAAAAAAATTGATTATTTTTTCATTTTAGTATTTGCTCGTTTATGTTATCCTAAAATGAATCTGAATTACAAAAAGATGAAAAATGATATTGCAACTAATATAAGACAAAGTCTTTTTTCTTCCAAGCGAGAAAAAAATATGTCGACTGATTCTAGTCAACTACAACAAAATGATGTAAGTGATAATGATGATGATAATGACATGATCGAATCTGAAGAAATGTCAGCAGATTTACAATCGTTTTTACAGAAAGAAAACTTAATCGATGACATTAGTGATGAAGAAGAATAAACAACTCTATGTAGTTTAATTATAAGCGCAATATTGATAGTGTCTTTTTTTATTGTCTATGATTTTCTTTTCATCTTTTGTTCTATCGTGTCATTTTATAATTTTGTTAGAACTTTCCATGTAATATATTAATGTATTGTTCTTTTTCTACCAATAACTTTCGTTTTTTCGTATTGAACTATTGTATCTCAATGTCAAATGATTGTATAGTGATTTTTTTTATGTTGTTTTTTGGTATTCGTGAACTTGATATTCTTGCTATGTAAACATGTGAGCATTTTATTCATGTAGTAATTAAAATTATCTTCAACTATTTATGAAAAATGTGAAATTAATGAAACAAAATATTAATTTGCTTGATTTGTTTTGCAATATGAGAAAAACATAAAAAGATGGTAGGCAACGATGAAAGAAAAAGAAAATATTTTTAGATGAGTGATGAAGAAGTGGAAATGGTGCTGGATCGAAAGTCTCGATTCAATCGTTATCGTACACGAGTTCGAGAGAGAATCAATCTCGATATCAAAGAAGCGATGCAAATAGATGATAACAACATTTCATCGTATGGATTATTCATTTTATTTCTCTTGTATATTGCTTTGAATTATTAGAACGAATGAAATATCTGATTCCGAAGAACCAAATGCTCTGCTCATTCATAAAGTACCAATAGTAATGCATGATGTATGTACTCAAACTTTAGATTCGTTGTCAAACCCAGGGATTGAGCAAAATTTTTCTGAAAATATTGATGATGAAGATATAAATCAGTTAAAAGGTAATAGTAATATATTTCAACTTCTAAATGATCATATACGTAATAACAAATTTAAAGATGATGATTTTTATGAGTTTGATTATGGCGATACAGATTCGATTGATATTAATGATGATGTTGAGTAAACATCTGAAGCTCAATACAATGTATTCAATGATGATTTTGAAACTCAACAGCCGCCAAATGCTACTGAACTGTCAGTAATGTTAGTTTTCGTTTGGAAAAGATATTCAATGAGTAAAGCTGCCGCAAACGATATATGTCGAATTTTGAATACTTTCAATGTTCCAAATATGCCTAAAGATTTTCGTGGGGTGATGTCACACGTTAAAAAAAGTAATCCTACACTACTTCACGGTAATCAATCGTTTATTTGTCCATCCTGTTTCGGTAAAAATGCAAATGCTTCAAAATGTAATACCAATGGATGTCAGTCTGCTTCATCTTATGTTCGTAGTCCAACATCAGTATTTACGTTTCCTATTTTACCTCAAATCATTTCCATTCTTGAACGTGAAAATCTTGCACCACTAACATATGAATCTGATCAATGTCAGGATGTAATAAACTCTCAACGTCATCATGAAATAGTGATGAAGGAAAAACAAATTCATTCAGGAAGCAATATAGTCACTCTGACGCTTAATTCTGATGGAGTGTTAATTAAAAGATTATCTCGTTCTTTATGGATTACATGTGCGTGTATAAATGAACTACCTCGATGTAAACGGTTTGAAATTAATAATATGTTAATATGTTCTATATCAACCGGTGATGGAAAACCAAAAAAACAAGAATATTCAACAATATTAATCGATATCGTAAATGAATTAAAAATCCTTGAAAATATAGGTTTTGACATAGTATTGCTATCGGATAAGAAAGATAATGCAAGAAAATATACACATTTTCACGCATTTACTATTTGTGCAGCCTGTGATAAACCTGCTCAGTCTTTGCTTATGAATATAACAGATCCGACTGGTTATTTTAGCTGTGGTTGGTGCTGTATAAAAGGTTAGAATATTTTTATTTCTTGTAATTTATTTTCATTTATTTTCATTTGCTATGCTATTTATTTATGTTCAACAAGGAGAAACTAGTGTTTCAGGTACAAGATGTTTTATTCTAAATGAAAAGATTCCGATGAAGACACGTAGCAATGCAACATATGATAGATCAATGCAACTTTTAGCTGCAGTGAGTTGTCTCCCTTTATATTTCGTTTATTGATCTGTCTTTCTTCTTTTTGTTTAGAACTATGTAGCAAAAAATCCTATGAAAGATAAAGCATGCGGGCATTTAGGTTACTGTGCGTTACGCGAATTGACTTATTTTGAAATTGGAGAAAGTTTCTGTTTTGATTCTCTTCACGGGTTGTATGCTGGTGCATTCGTAAGCTCTTTTATTTTTTTTATTGTGAATAGCTGATAAGGAATTTCAATAAGAAAATAGAAATGCTTTCATAATCATATGGGTGTAAGTCCCTTGATAAAAAGCTTAGATCTTGATAATTCTATCTATAATGCCATGAAGTCTCAGGCGGTACAGAAAATAAAGCTATATTTAATGTAACTTCAATAATTGTTGATCATCATCTTATTCGATTTAATTCGCAGGCTACAGTTTTTAGTATTTATGCTTGAATCCTGCAAATTTCAAGAGTTTTATCGAAGAATGGTTCGTCCTTTTCGCCTGTTTTTTCACTAGATGATTTTGCAACACGAATAGTTAAATTTAGTACGATCAAAACTTGTTGAGCACTTCAAATCCTCGATTATATCGTTCTTTCTAACAATTTTAAATATATAGTTGTAAAAAAAACGGAGGGTATATTTGGGCAAATATTTAAATGATATTTGTTTTCGAGAATAATAGCGAACTATATACGTACACAAAAGATTATATAATCAATCTTTTAACAACGATGAATTTTCATCTGTATATTTCCAACTTTCTTTTTTTTCTTAACAGAAAAGGCTTATGTGTTTGTGGTTTGATGTTTTAACAGCTGATTATTCAATTAAAAAGGATTTTTATCGAATGGAGAAATTGCTTCAAACAATTCATTATCCATCTATTAATCGATTACCACGTTCTTTACGACATTTTAAATCATGGAAAGCGAATGAGTTCAGAATTACCTTGTTGTTTGGATATAAGTAACTATATATCACGCATTATGTTGATTTATCAATTGAAGATTTTCCCCTTGCAGACTCTTTGAGAAAGCGATGAAAAAACATTACTACGAACATTTCAGATTATTAGCATATGCAGCAATTTTATCAGAAGCGCACATATTAACAACAAATCGATTGAATCAAATAAAATATCTTTTAGACACGTTCCTGAATCGATTTCCTTTTCTGTATGGTGTTCGTATCTTAATAACTAACTTTTTGCTTTTTAATTTTGTTATAACTTTTATAGGCATCCAATTGTGTTTCTGTCATACATTCTTTAGCGCACGTTCATCACACATTACGTCAATTTGGACCTCTTTATAATTATAGCACTTTTAATTTCGAAAGTACGATCGGTACGTATGTCTAATTCACTTCACTATAGTGATTTCTAGTTAGCTAATTATGACTTTCGAAAAAAAATATATCGATGTGTTGCTAAAAAACTATAAATAATAATTTTACGCAAGAAATCAGGAGTACCTCAAGCTAGTAGAACTATTGAAAACAATTGATTAATACACTTAATTTTATGTCTATGACTAATTTTTAATGCGCTAATATAAACCCTATCAACTTAGATTATGAAAAAAGAGAGTATTCTACTAGAAAGCTCATTCTTAAAGAAAAAGATACATTCATAAACCTTATTTTACTTAATAAGCATGTATCATTGAAAGATGATCAAGAACTTTTTACCAGAGATGTCTACCTTGACTTGGAATCTACAGCTGTCGCATGAGACAAAGATCTAAATCAGCTGTGAGACGGTCAACTAAATAAAATGACACCGCTGCCCACTTGGCTCCCCAGAAACTAAGAAAATCTCTTCCAGTCTTGTATCAAATTGGCATTGATAAATTCAACCGATCAGTTTCACTCTCCATTATTAGTTCCAGATTTGAAGACATTCAATTTCAGTCAGAATTGATTGAATGTCGCAATTTACCGAAAACGAAGCTACCGGTGCAAGCCTGATCCTATCCTGCGTTCTCCCTGTACTAAGTCTGTTGTCACTTTGCTGCCATCCTGCTACCTAGCTACTGCCACTCCATTACCTCGTACTCCTCAATGCTGTCCGCCTTCTCCCATTCTGCATTTAGCTTGCTGCCATGCCGCTGCTATGACCTGATAAGTTTTAAGAAATGTACCGCTAAGGCAGTAGCGGCCGTGGTGCGGTAGTAACGGCACCTTCTTGACATCTATGGTCATCATATATCATTAGACGGATGATGATTAGGCCATCTCGCTTTTTCTGACTCATTTTGGCCTAATATATATTTTTTTCAATGCAATGGAAGTTTGCGCATATTTAACGTGGTATTGTTTTTGGTAATTAGGTTCAATAGTGAAATCAATATACGGCCCGTCGGTGATTATATCTGAACTTATGAACAATTTCGAACTGATATCTAATGCTACAGCTCTTCTTAAAGATCCATCTTTTCATCCAAAAATTAGTTTACTTATACATCAGATGCTTTTCTCAAAACGACGAGCTGTACCAACATCCATCAATTCAAATATTCATATTCATCTGACTCGTGCAACACCTGTTAAGTGTTTACATCTAGCTATGTATCTCGATAATACATACGGAAAGGGACAATTCATCCACTATTCATCATGCGTTGTTCAAGGTGTACCTTTCAAAGTTCATTGTCCAACAAATAAACAAGTAGATGACTGTGCTGTGGTTTATGTTGATGAGTCTAAAGATCTTCGTCTTGGTATAATTGTAGGAATAGTCAAACTCAAACATACAGGTGAAATCTTGTTTATGGTCGATGAAGCAAAGATTAGCGGTTATGATTCCTTTTTCCTTAATGGAAAGGAATACGTAAATCATTTTTTCATTTTTTCAAAATTAGCAAACCCACGGAGCACTGTTTCGATCCGTTATAATTCAATCAGAGAAAAAGTTGCATATCGATTAGATGAAAATTTCAGTTCTATTTGTGAATTCTATTTATTTCCAAACCGTCTAGAATCTACATAAAAAAATTAAATAGCTACTACTTGGTATTGTTTCTCGTTCATTCTTGTATTTCTTTTCATTTTTCTACTATAAGTGTATGTTAAACTGTTTTATTTTATATCATTTAGCTTCTAGATTATTTATCAGAGTAAGTATTAATTATACACACAAGGAAAATTTATGTGAACAACTACGCGAGACGGAACGTATATCAACATCAAATTTCAGCTTCATGTGAAAGGATTTGCAAAAAAATGACAAGATGCATGATGATAACTTACATATTCTGACATCTATACAGGAGTCAAACAATCCTAATACATTTCAGAAATATTCTCAGTCTTGGTATGGTTCTTCAAAAGAAGAATGATCTTTGGGTTGAATAAAAACTCTCAAAACATATTAGATACGCCAAAATAAGCATAACTTGTGTTAAGAGATATGTAACTTTTTTACTAATCTCAAGGAACGAATTGCGTAGTTTAAAGAAGTTAAATTTCCTCAGAAAAAAGAAAAAACGACGAATGAATGCTAAACAAAATAAAACTCGTTAAGGAAAGGACGCGTAAAAACGCGTAAAATTCCAGTTGTTAATGGATAAAAACGCATAAAATGTTTTAAAAAATCTACATATTTTAACGCGTAAATGTTGTAACGCGTTAAAATCCGTTCAAAAAATCGTAAAAACGGCGTTTTTACGGTAAGCTATCGTTAAAACGGCGTTTTAACGAAATTTTAACGTGTTTTAACGCGTTTTTTTAAGGCACTTGTCTGACTGGGTATG